AAGACTCATCCAGGATCTTTAATGCTAGGCTAAAATATGATAACATTGATGTTGCAAAGATTTTTCTACGCAGTTACAGTAAACTCTTACGTCGTACTGTAATAATGATATTCTCCTTCTAGAAACCACTTAAGATGGATGCGTTTGTCTTGCTTGCGGATATTCAAAGTGAAGCTGCTTACTGATTGACTCCTGATCCTTAAGCTACCCCTTTTATAAACCAACCGAGGGTTTGCAAAGGCAACTATCGTCACAGTGCGTCTATCGTAAGGCCGAGAGGTATTAGATATTAAGTTGTTTTTAGATTCGCCGTATTAGAAACCCTTTCAGATTTGCTATCCTACCACTTTCTTTGTTTTCCATATTTCAAACGACCTCCAAAATCGGCAAATCATAAGCAATTGCACAAAACGCATGCGGACCTTAGGAGTTTTTGTACAATGGAGAAAAAATGTTATGAACAATGAAATTGATACCCAAACTTTGAGAGAATAGCAGCAGCACCAGACGTACCCAAAGAGAAGAAGATAAAAGTAAATAGAACAATTAATTTACTTGTAAATCAGAGCGTATCGTACAGTTGTTTGAAATTGAGCGTCTATAGGTCGTTTTAATAAAAGTATCTTCTAAGCCAATAAATACAGTCTTACAAATAAATTTTGTACCGTGATCCCTCAATAGTGGCGAGGTGAAATGTCCGTTCCTTAAATTTAAGTTTTTCCTTCTTAGTTTGGAGTAAGCAGAGAATTTTTAGAATTCGAGAAGTTTTTTTAGGATTTCCTTTTTACAGACATACTTAACATATGCTATAACCAATAAATATTAATTATTAAATATTAATTAAATTTTTCCAAACGTATACAAGACCCCTAAGAAAAGGATGTTACGTTCAGCCAACTTGGAAATTCACTATTTGAATCTCAGATTACAAAAAAATTGGTTTAGTTTTTCAACGACGTCATTGTCCTCTTCCAGTTACATGTGCTAGTGGTTGTAGGGTGGCTACTATAGTTTTAATGTTCGAAAATTTCTTCGAATATACGGATGAATATTCATTCGTAATAAAAATTCTCGAACGAATGAATAACTCAAATTATAATCGGATGCAAATATTTGAATAGCGGAGAGTGAATATTATTCGAATCGAGTTGGGCATGACCGAATATTTGAATACTCGAATAAGAGTGCGCCCTTCGAATGTTTGACTATTCGAATGTGCAAATATTTGGATGTTCAAATATTTCATTCAAACATAAATACTCTCTATATCTCAATCACATAATCTCGCAAACATTCGAACGATCGAATATTATTGGATTTTAAATTTTAAAATCGAGCTCGAATATGCAAGTATTGATGTTTCAAAAAACTTGCTTCGAACATTCGACTATTCGAGAAATCGTGATACCATTTTTGCTACAAAGTTATCAAATTATGGTGATCACGGTGAGAATTGGTTTTGGGATTTTACAGGAGAAAAAAGACTTACTTAGTTGAAAAACTTGCTTAAACAAACTTATCCAACAATGCAAGTACATTTTTAATCAAGAGTCTCCCCGTAAACATCACATTTCAAAGAAATAAAGTTCATCTTAGTGATTTCCGTCATCTGTTTTCAAATGCAAGATCTACGCGCTCCAAACTCGTCCCACTGAAAATAATTAACCTTCAATACTTCGCCTAACTTATATAGTACCATATGAAAGGAAACTTTAAGAGGGTACTGATTAACGACAATTTTTTAATTCGGGAATTTTTTCCCCACACTCAGTTTGGGGAAAAAATTCCCTGTGATTCGTACTTTCCACGGTGTAGTGCCTGAAACATCGATTAAAGCTGGAAAATTTCATTTGAATGTTCTACGGAAGTGATTATTAATAATACAATCCCATGCTTTGCTCCAAGGATTCACAACTTATTGTACGTATATTACAACACTCACACTTCATCTGGAATGTATAGCTACAGAGAGATTATATCAAACTTTTTGCTCCTCGCGCACTGGAATGAAATGTTACGTTTTACACTCGGTAGGAATAAGACTATGCCAATCAGAATAATAAAATTACGTCATGAGAAGGTCTTTTCGCCTAAATCACTGTTATGGTCACTTTTGAGATTGAGTGCATTGCTTTTGCTATTTTAAAAATAGGACGACGCCCTCCAAAGCGTATG